CTTGTCTCTGGAATCCAGGAACATACAGACACAAAATTGTGCGCCTATCCAGTGCATAGTTTTTGTTATGTTCACATAAACGTCGTGTTCCGATAACTAATTATGATTATCATAATATGAGTATTTATTGTTCTTTTTAATTTTTTGTTGATTTGTTCGAGTATTCAAATATTTCTACTTTTTGACACGTAGGGAATCAAAAATTATGAATATTCCATCAATTTAGGCTGGTTGACTCTTGATAATTATTAACAAATATAACTTTTTTCATTGCGCATTATGCCATTTTTTGGGCAAAATTTTTCTAGTTCAAATCTCCATGCTCAATAACTCCTTTATAACTGCTCAGCTTTCGAAAAAGAACTCAAGTAGAACAGTAACTACTTATCTGCAAAATTTCCCAGTAGAAGTATATACCGGTTTCTTTTTATGGTCCAGATTTTACTGAATTGTTAGATACCCTCAGGGCTTCAAACCTGGTTAAAAGGCTTCCCATTGCAACTCATTTAGGGGATCTGAAGGAACTTAGTTTTAGGAGCCAGTATTTACAAGTTTTGAGAGAAGAGCGGACGCTAAAATATATATTTTTGGGTCAAAGCATTCCTCAAAGTAGATAAAAGTAAAAAATGAGTCCGCAGCTGATTTTTTTTGATATTTATGTTAGCATTTTGGTTCTGGAAAAGCTAAGATCAATTATTAACGCAACAGTTCTTTGGAAGCAATTCAAATTAAAGATAATTCATTCGGCGTGCAGTTTGAAGACGAAAAGAACAGGCAACACTAGAAAAACAGAAGGTACAAACGGGTCTAGGACAACAAGCCGACAGGGTTTCAAGCCGAAGGGACTTAAGGCTGAAAATTATACTTTACAAGCACCTCAAATCATTATTTTTTCATCTGTAAAACGTTGCTTTTAAAAATCTTAGGCTTGTTTAGTCCATACCCGGGTTGACCTCCATAAACCGAAAATGCTCATCTTACATTTCCCCACACCGAAAACGCTTTTCATACAATTGCCTACATCAAATGTATGGAAAAATGCTAAACATTTAATTTTCATACAATTTCAAAAAACCATTGAAAAAAGATTCAATCTAGTTTCTCCGGCTATTTGAACCAAATAAACCAGTCTGGTGATGAAAAATAACTACGTTTATTTTTTTCGGAAAAAATGGCTATCATACAATTTCCATATATGAAAATTGTTTGATAACCATTTTTTCATGAAAGTCAAGTTTTTCAGAAACTTTTTTTAAAACTTGTTTTTAATCAAATTTAAAGTAATTAAGAGTGTTTTTGCTCGGTTTAAAGCCTCTTGCTCTTCAAAAACGAAAATTTAGTGTGAAGCTAGAAAAAAAGGTTATCATAAAAGGCCAGATGTTCAGAAACATGTTAAAACACGTGCAAGCGTTATTTATGACAATGAATCACTTATGATTGGCATTAGTTAATAATATCAGCATAAATTGCATAAATTATAAACAAGAAAAATACCTTCAACCGTGTTTTATTTTTCAACTTTCCTAAAAGCATCGTTTGGAGGCTTAAATTTTATAAAAACGCTAATAATTACCGAGTAAAGAACATGAAATTTAGAAATTCTTCAAATTTTTTAAACTTAACTTATTTCATGACTTAATGAGAAAATTTTTGGCTTGAAGTCCCTAATTTTACGATTTTAAGCTTGAAGTCCAGTCGGCTTGACGTCCGCCAACCGGTACAAACAAATGAAAACTTTCAGTTTGCAAAAATAGAGGTTGAGAGTTGGCGTCCAAAGTAAGAAAATTGCACGTAAGCTAAGCGACCAAAGTCATTCAGTTAGCTCTGGCTGGTCATAGTACCAAGCGCTCATGGATCATAATCGATTATATTGTCATAACATGGTCAGTATTTATAAAATTACAAAATGGTTGATTATAATCCATTAAATTTTTATATGCCAGTATAATCCATTAGAGTCGATTATTATCAATTAAATTGGATTTTTTCGAGAAGCTTTTTTTGTAAAAGTTACATCTTTTTCTCAAATTTATCTCTTTTCCTCTTTAGTGCAGTTGCTACGTAATACGTTTCATAAAATGTTACAATTTTTTTATAAAAGGTGGTTTGAACGGTGCTCCCCCCGTTTATTTTAACCCCCCTTCCCAGTTAACTTTACCCGCCCCACAATTTCTCCTCCCCCCACGTTTTCTCTCCCTTCATTTTAGTTTACCTCTCCCCGTTTATCCCCCCCCCCCACCAACCCCCCCCCCCCTCCCACCACCACACACACACTCACACAGTTTACTTACTTAAAAATAATCAGTTTCAGTGCCAAAAATGATGGATTATAGTCGATTATAATGGATTATAATGGATTATAAGGGATTCTTTTCGTTCAAAAAAAATCGATTAAATTGGCAGTATAATCAATTTGTACATCTTTAATGGATTATAATCGAAAATTTTGACTCGTGAATCCATTATAATCAATTAGAAACCATGGGCGCTCGGTGCGGGCTAATAAATGTTTTGAAGATTTGTCAGATTGTTTGTTTAGTGTTTTATGGAAACTTAGGTCTCTAAGTTTTCCATTTTACGCTCACAATCCCTGTCAATAACGTTACCAGGAACCTGAACCTAGCGAGTTTCCTAGCGAATATTATTAGCATTGGCTCAGCGGAAACTTAAAAAGTTTGAACTGGGAAGCAAGGTCTAAAAACTAGAATTTAGAAAAAGCTTTTGAGTTTGATGACAATTTTCGCAAAAAAAACCAGTCGACAGATCTTGAACTTGCTCTCGTTTTTGTCAAAAATTACGACCGGCCTGCATTTGATTTGAAACTATTGTTATTAATACACATTAACTAATGTTTTGCTTGAAAAAAAACTTCCTGTGAAGAATTTGAAAAATCACTACTTATTTGAAAGTAAAAGGAAGAAAATTCTACACAAACAGAAAACTGTATATTTTTAGATGAAATGATTGAAAAATTATTCTAACATTAATAAAACATATGCTATTTCAAAGCTTCTGTTAACTCAACATAAAAACTTTCTTACAAAATTAGTCTAAAATTACAAGCAGGGCATTTTTGTCAAAATTAAAATTTAGTTGCCATACACAGTAGCGTAATTAGAACTTTTAACCAATGCTACGTTATACCTCAAACGTTTTTACAAATTCAAACATCAGACAAAACAGGTTTTGATTGAATTTGTTTTTAAATTTATCTCATTTCCTGTTTAGTGCAGTTGCTACGTAAAAAAAGTAAAAAAAATACATTTCACATTAAAATTTATAACCCTTCCCCCTTTTAACCCCTTCCCCCCAACACACACACACACACACGCACACACAGAGACAGTTGACTTACACCCTCGTTTATCTTTTTAACTCCCACCCTCGTTTACTTTAACTCCCCCTCAGTTTCTTTCCCCCATACCCGTTTACCCCCCCCCCCCCCCCCCCCCGCACGCCCTGCCAGTTTAGCACAACTGCCATTCGCCCCCTACTTCCCCCCTATTTATTGGTAGACTTTGGGCGAGAGGGTTTACGATTTACACCCCCTTCAGTTTAACCCCTTGGCTTTAATTACTTGATGGGGTGACGTTAGACATGGCATTTAAAAAAAAGAAATGGCACACCTTTTGCAAATTTCTTGCAAAACATGCATACATTCTGCAAAAATAATCGAATTTAGTTCAAAAAAGTTGATGTAATATAATCGATTCTAACGGAAAATAATGAATATTTAATGCAAAACAATCAATTATAATGCATTATCTCGGCAAAATGAATCAATTTCAGTACCAAAAATAATGGATTAAAATGGATTATAAGAGATACTTTTTTTCATAAATAATCGATTACAATGGCAATATGAACGATTTGTACATCTATAATGATTCATAATCGATTATTTTTGACTCGTGAATCTATTATAATCAATTAGAATCCATGGGCGCTCGGTGCTGGCTATTATATGTTTTGAAAATTTGTCAGATTGTTTGCTTAGTGTTTTAGGGAAACTTAGATCTCTAAGTTTTCCATTT